TGGAAAAACCATCAGAATTGATGTCTCAGTCATCATCTTTCCTGTCCCTCAGTGGCTTTTCTCTTAATCAGGTAAGTGAGAACCAGAGCCTGCAGCTCTTTGCTGTTTGAACTTAATGTTAAACCAGTGGGAAAGCTGGAGGAAGTCCACATGGGTGACTTTGTGTAAAATAAAATGGCCACATTTGGGGTCAAAATGGGGAGTGAAAAAGGGGTTAGGAAATACTTTGTTCTATAACTGTTTCCTTTGTACAGTCTCAGTGTTTGAAATAAATTCAACACCTGAACTCTTCCATTCTGTTTGGTTTTCTTGTAGGAAAGATACCCAAATAACAGCATGTTCAATGAGGTGTATGGGAAAAACATGAATACCAGCACAAAAACAGAAGTCACCCCTTCAGTTGCCCACCAGGAGACTTCACTCTATTCTCTCTTTGAAGGGACTCCGTGGTCTCCATCCCTTCCAGCCAGCTCAGGTAATCCTGGTGTGGTACTCATTGTGTCCTAAGAGGATTTGAGCTAATTCCAAAGTGACTGCAAGTTATATGTAACTGGAAATTACACAAAAACCCCAAACCTGCTTGACAAGGTCTCTGAAGGTTCTTTGTATATCCTTAGAAATACAAGGGGATCCTGTAATTAATAGTGTAAGAATCTGGATTTTAATTTAAGCACTTGAGCAGGATAAATGTTGTAGGAGGTGTTAAATCCTGAAGTCTCTTTAACTTAGCTTCCTGACAGCCATTTGGGAGTTTTAGCTCAGACATCCATATGCTTTCAGTGTTCCTTCTGAAGAAGGAGAACTGGATTTCATAATGTAGATATTTGAAAGAGAGAGAAACTATGTGACTGGAGAGTGTGGAGGAAAATACAACAGTGGTGGGTTTTGTTGGGGTTTTTTTTTTTTTTACTGTTAATCAGGCTACAAAGCAAACCAGCTGCTTCCTCAGTAATTATCTTCTGGGCATAAACTACTATGTCATGATTTTATTCTCACTAAAAACCCAGAAGAATGTGGGGGAGGAATGAGTTGAGCCTAAGCAATGAGTGGATTTTAAATAACATCTGCACTGGATGAGATGTTTGATTGCACTGAGACTTTTGCAACCAACCAGGAAAAGCCATTTGGGGTGAAATGGAGGGAGTTGCAAAGTGCTTTTATTCTAGCAGGATTTATGGCTCACATATCTTCAACTTTCTCTCCCTTCACCACTTCATTCCTTCTGCCCTGCCTGCAGACAGACTGCTCCATGCTCATCCTCCTCTTTTGTTCACCAGTGGCTTCTGGTCTGAATTGCTTTAAGACTCCTGGAAGTGTAAAACATTCCCAGACTTGGGAGTTCAAGTTGTAAACTTGTAGACTTCTCAAGGAAGGTCTAGTGTAATTTTTTTTTTTACTGGTTTGTCAAGCTTGGAGACAGATACTTGTTTAGCTCACGACCAGTTCTTCGAGAGACATGGGGAACTGGCTTCACCTAGGCTGCCATCTTGGAGTTTCTTGGGTTGGGGTTCTATGGTCAGAATGAGACATAATCATTCCATTCTTGCAAATTAGGAATTTAGGAATATGCTCATGTAGTGAAGGGAATGAAAACTGACCTTCAGCATTGGAGCAAACTGGGTGATAGCAGGATTTGCATCAGCACTAAGAAGTTCATCCTTGGGAGACTCTGCTGTCTCTGCTGACCTGTTTCCTCTTGCCTTGTAATCCCTAGATCATTCAACACCAGCCAGCCAGTCTCCTCACTCCTCCAACCCCAGCAGCTTGCCAAGCTCCCCTCCAACCCATAACCACAATTCTGTTCCCTTCTCCAACTTCGGCCCCATCGGGACTCCGGACAGCAGGGACAGGAGAGTCGCAGACCGCTGGAAAACAGATAAGCCAGGTGAGTGCTGTGCTCCAGGCTCGTGCAGAGCCAGCTGCCCGTGGCATTTGCTTTCCAGTGCTTGTTGCCATGTCCCTCTGAATGTGTCTTTCTCCCCTCTTAGCAATGGGAGGGTTTGGTCTGGACTATCTCCCAGCAACATCCTCCTCCTCGGAGAGCAGCTGGCACCAGTCCAGCACTCCCAGTGGCACCTGGGCAGCCCAAGGCCCTCCCAGCATGGAGGACTCCTCAGCTGTGCTTATGGAGAGCCTGAAGGTAGGTTGGGCTGAAATGGTTCTGTGGGGCCATTAGCCTGTTGCAAACTATCAGAGTTCAGTGTCAGAAGCCAAAGGTTTTTCCTGCAGATGCACTTACCTCTACAGTGTGGGAAGTGTGACCATCACAGTTTTCCAGTTCTTGCTGGTTTTGAGGATTTTGCAGAACAAACCCAGGCTGGCAGGACTGGAAGAAATGATACCATTTGCTTTGACTACTGTAAAATTAGTAATTGTTAATGTGGGATGAATTTTTATGGTAATGAGGATTCTGGAGGAGGAGAAGATTCTTCCAGGGAGCCTCTTCTTAGAAGGCCTTCCTTGAAGCCTGGGTAACTTTGATGATATCCACCTCTGCGTGATAGAGTTTTATAGAATGTTAAGGGGTTGGAATGGACCTTAGAGATCATCTAGTGCCAACTCCATGCCCTGGGCAGGGACACCTCCCACCAGAGCAGGTTGCTCAAGGCTCATCCAACCTGGCTGTGAACACTGCCAGGGTTGGGGCAGCCACAGCCTCCCTGGGCAACCTGGGACAGTGTCTTACCACCCTCACAGGGAAAACTTCTGCCTGATATCTAACCTAAATTTCCCTCTTTCAATTTCTCCCCATTACTCCTTGTCCTGTCACTGCAGTTCCTAACACAGAGTCCCTCTGCAGCTTCCCTGCAGGCAGGAGAGGAATTGTCCCATAGAAGGAGAGTATAGAATGCTGTCTCTGCTGTCCCATCAGTAAGAGTGGGAGCTGTCTAACTTAGGAATGTTGGCTGTTTGTTTCCAGTCCATCTGGTCCAGTTCCATGATGCACCCTGGCCCCTCGGCCCTGGAGCAGCTGTTGATGCAGCAGAAGCAGAAGCAGCAACGCGGACAAGGCGCCATGAACCCACCGCACTGAGACGGAGGAGACAACCCTGGCAACGACGGCTCCATAAACCATGGCATGTTGGGTCTGCAGGACTGGCCCACACGGTCCTGTGCAGGTGGCAGCCCTCTCCTCTGTTCCTTGCTGTCAGGAGGGCGTAAGTGCTCCACCGACCCACTGAGTGTGCACAACACGTCTGCAGTGCAAGCAACCAACATCAGGAACTCTCCCATCCCCGGGGCCCTTCGGAGGGAGAGAGGAACTGCTGTTTGGCTCACTCAGTAACCCGATCTCACCGCCTCTCACCTTCTCCATCTTGCATGTCCCCAGCCACATGGGAAGTAAAAGCTGAGAATGAAGGGCAGATGGGAGAAGCCAATGAGAACTTCTCAATCCTTTTCCTCTCTTTGGGGAGATCCGATAGGAATCCATTAATGATTGCTTCGCTGACTGAGAATGTAGTCGAAATTACTCCTAAACATCTTTATTACTATCTCAGTAGTAAGACCACACTGAATTCTTCCGTACACAGACGTGCTTCGTAGTCAGTGTGTAGCAATGAAAGCCCCAGTTGCTGCTTCAGTCAGAGGTGGGTGGTGTGAGGTGAGGCTCAATCTCCTGGAGTTTCATGAAGGAGAGTCTGGCACTTGGCACTGCTTCACCCAGAGGCTTTGGCCAGCCCACAGGTGGGTTAGAGACTCCAGCATGAAATGTCCTCCTCTCAGTAGGTGTTTGAGCTGTGCTGGGTGACGTGGGGCGTCGCAGCACTCTGCTGAACAAGCGAGTTAACTGCTATGGGGTTTTAAATTAATGTTTGATTCCTGTACATTTTACTGTAGCATAGTGGCTTAGCCCCACACAGGGCAGGCTAGTCTGTGCATTCACAGCCTGACTCATTTTAATAGGTAGGTAGAAAGCTTTCAATGAGGTTTTATTTTGGTTTTTTTGGGGTTGGTTTTTTTTTCCCCCCCCTTTCCATCCTTCCACCTTTGCTGAACGCTAGTAGTTCCATTCCCATGTGCAACATCTTGCAGGAAAGAATCAGGGGTCCAGCAGGGCTGGGTAAATCCGACAGTCAGCCTGGACACTGCGGAGCGTCCGCACCCTCGGCAAGGCACAGGTCAGCTCTGCACAAACCCTCCCCCTGCCCCCAGCTGCAGCCCCAAGGCTTTCAGTTCCAGGAGGAAATTCCAGGCACCTGTGGCCACGTGTGTGAGCCACACACGGAAACAGCTCAGTGCTGTTCATCGATGGGAAAGGTGCAGAAGGGACAAGGAAAAGCGTTTTGTTTGCTATTTATTAGGGGGAAGGAAGACTGGAAGCTTTGTTAAGGAAAAGGACAGCGTTTTTTGTTATAGGTTTCCCAGGGAAGTGACGGAAACAATCTCAATGTCCATTTGCTGTGTTTAGCAGTAGGGGTTTGTGTGATGGTTCAGGAACTCTGGGCTGGAAGTCAGCTGCAGAGCAAAGCACATGCAGGAGCCGAAGTGACACTGGAGTCTGGGCAGCCCCAGAGAACACGAAAAAGGGAAGGCGGAGGAGCCGCGATGCCCCTCGGGGGGGCACGAGCAGCTCCCCACGAGCTCCACCTTGGCAGCATCACTGTCCTGTGTTGCATTTCGACGCTGTCTTTCCTTTAACGAGTCCAAAACGAAGTTCCCACGCGGTGGGAATACAGCCCCACCCCTCCTCCCGTGTGCTTCCCTCCCGGTGTGTGTCCGAGCTGTGCTCCCAGGCAGCTGCGACATTCCAGCGTGTGATCCGTCGCTGACTCTTGCACCCTAGACGAGCTAACCAGGTTGGCCATCTCACTCCGGCAGTGCCAGGCCCTCCCAGCCGCTCCGTTCCACTCGTGCATGAGCGTCCGGCCCTGGGAACGCTTCGGGCCCTGCTGGGGACTCCCCTGCCCCCCAGCCCTGGGGAGCCAGGCAAGGGGCCCCAACAGAAACTGGTTTGTGTCGTAAGCTTCTTTTGTGTTCTTTGTCTGTCTGTGCAAGAACTGCAGCTGCTGAAATCAGCTTTGCCTTTAATTAAACCATGTTCTCTCCAGCCAGGGCTGTGTGTAGCCTTTATTTCCTGTGGGATTTGGCTGCAAGGCCTTGGAAAATGTCTTGGGTTTTTTTTTTTTCTGAAGAAGGTTTGAAGTTGGGGGTTTTTAGCTCTGTTTGGAAGAGAACTAAATAAATGACAAAATCGGGCTTGGTGCAGATAATTGGATTGTGGGTTTGTGCTACCTGTGTGCAATGGGTTTTATGTACTGAACCAAATATCTGGGATGGGAGCAGCTTGCAAAGCTCCTTTTCTGCTGGAGACTGAACCTAGTAGGGCACAGGCAGTGGGAGATGGAGGGTATGAATCCTCCTGCCTGCAGGTCAAGGTGTTTGTTGGCTGTTTGCATGTTTCTAGACGTGTCAGAAAACTCCAGAGATCATAGTATGTTAAGGGATTGGAATGAAGCTTAGAGATGATCCAGCCCCAACCCCTGCCCTGGGCAGGGACACCTCCCAGCAGAGCAGGTTGCTCAAGGCTCATCCAACCTGGCTGTGAACACTGCCAGGGTTGGGGCAGCCACAGCCTCCCTGGGACAGTGTCTCACCATCAGAACAGCAAAAACGTCTCCCTAATATCTAATCTAAATTTCCCTCTTTCAATGTATCCCCATTGTCCTGTCACTCCAGTTCCTGGCAAAGAGTCCCTCTCCAGTGTTCTGGTTCTGGATGTGTTCTGGTTTTGAACTGACAGGTGTTTGCAGTACCCAAGCAGCTCTTCAGAGTAAGTTCCTTTTCCAACAAATAGGACATTTAGGTTATTGGGATAGTGGAGTTGTCCCGAATTTGTGTGATAGAATTGAGTGGGGAAAACACTGCCCTTAGCACCTTTGAAGCAAAGCACTGAAGTTCCAGGCTGTGTCTGAGTCACTGACTGATCAGGAAAAGCTTTGAGACACAGCTCAAAATGTGTCAGCTTTTATTGGTGAGGGCTGTGAAGTCACTGTGTTTGAAGTGAGGTGTGAGCTGGAGCAGGGTGAGGCTGCATGGTTTCTTCTCTTGGGGCTGGCAATAATGTTTGAAGGAAGAAAATGCTGTTCAGCCTTTCCTTGTCTGTAGCTTCCTGAATGTCATTTCCCCTCCTGGACCTGCTGGCAGGGCTGAAAGTGCAAGTGGCACCACCCCCTTGTGGGTTTTCCCAGCTTCTGGTGAGTCTCTGTAAAAGCTTTGTTAAGGATAGGGTAGGTGGGACAGGGCAAGTCTCATGGCAAGAACAGGATTTAGGAATGAATGTATTCCTAAGAGGAAGACAATTAGAAACTTCTTAACATGTCCCTGTTTTAGAGATCAAAACAAAAGGTAAAAGAAAATATAAAGATTTTAATCCAAGTAGCAATAACATTTAAAGCTCATTTTCAGATTCAGAAAATGATATGGAAAGTTCTTAATGGCAACAGCTGACTTCTTAATTTCTTTCCATGATTTTCAGCTCTTCTGAAATCACCTCCAGGCCGACAGTGTGAGGCTGTTGAACGAATGCAGATGGGAAGATGCCAATCTTACCATTGCATTGGCCTTCTAACCAGTCTTCATTCACTGGAAGGAAAAATAGACACAGGTTTTGTCACCTAGGGATGGAGATACAGGAACGTGATTACCTCTGTGTGCTACAGATAGGCCTGAGATCACCATTGGAAGGTGTTTCTGCTGATAATCCCTTGAGCCATGCTAGAGTCTGGTAGGGAGAGGAGGAAAGGGGATGAGAAGGAACAAGGAAGAGAGCAGAGCTGTAAGGTAAGGGATGCACTGCCAAATGTGTGAAAGTAGGTCAGAACAGAGACCAAGGGGCTTGGAAACCCCCTTGAGTGGAAATAGAGTGTGGAGAGTGAGGAAATGATCTGAGACCTTGGGCTGTACTCAGGATAGAATTCAAGTGTTTTCACTTGTTTTCCATGTTCACATAACCCCAAAGTCTCTGCTACCCTGGATTGAGTGAAGCCTTGAAGCTCTGAAAATCCTCCTGTGGGGAACCCAATGAGGCAAGAACTAGCTTTGCAATGGGAAATATTTAGCTCAGCAGTGAAGGGGAGAGTAGGATTTTGGACTGGGGGGAGTCATCAATGTATGGTGCAAAAACTCAGTGGTACTGCAGTAGAGGGGAGACTGATTGCTTGTGTACTGCTCCCAAAGCCTGCCAGCCAGCATAAACCAGGGACAGAGCTACAGGTGGCAAAGTGTCATAACATTTTTTGCCTTTGAAACTGTTTCTGATATCTTCATTTCACTCAGGGGCTCAACTGAGGAGGGAAACGTGCCCTGCAGATACGATTCTTCACCTGATATGGCTCACAGCAGCTTTTGCTGAAGCACAGTAGCTTTGTCCCCCCTCCAAGGCTCCAACTCAAGCACATGGACTAGATCTTGCTGAGGTGTAGTCTGTATTTAAGCCTCAGTTCTCATAGAAGCACTAAGGACTAATATTGGAAGAGGTCTGAGGCTAATGGAAGATTGAAAAAGAAAAGCAGAGGGGAAAAAGGTGTTGGGTGAGAGGGATTGGGACTCAGGGCCTGTTCCCATTGCAGGGATGGCAGCCAAAATGAGGCATCTCCTTGAAAAAATCCACTGTGATCAGGAAGCTTAAACACAGCTCAGGTGAAACTCCTGTCTTAAGTGTTTGGGGAAGGGGATGGTGGAAACAGGGGTGTGATGAAAACACACTGAAGTGTGTGTAGCATGGGAAGCCCACAGGAGAGCTGGAGGAGCTCTGCTGCTGCTGCACTACCCTTGGAGGTCCCTTCCTCCCTCCCCCTGTCACAGGAGGAGCACCATTACCTTTGGATAAAACGAGGATCACGTCTCCTGCCTGAAATTCCAGGTCTTCGGGTTGGGTGGCTTCATAATTGTACTGTGCCACAACTTGGGTTGGTCCTGTCTCCTCAGGCATTGCCTCCTGGGGCAGCTCCTCTGGTTTGCTGTCTGGTAAAAACCCTGCTCCCTAGGGCAGGAAACAAGCTGGTGAGGACACACACCTTTTGGCTTCTCCTTTGTACCAGGGAAAGAAACAAGCTCTGCTTCTCCTGCTCTTTGCTCCTCTGCCTCTCAGGAGGTCACTGGCTCACATTGAAAGCCACATTGTGCTTGTGGCAAGGAAAGCAAAGGCAAGAGGGGAAAGAAACGGTGGCTGCCACCTCTAGCTGCCACTGACCTCTGTGATTTCACACCAGACTGTCAGATAGTTGTCCTTGCTCTGGCTCCAAGCTGCCTCCAGGTTCTCTGCACTCAGAGTCACCAGCTCTTGGCTGTCTGCAGATTTGTACCTGGTGTGCAGGGGATGCAGGTGAGCTGGGAGCTGTTCCCACAGCTCTGGCTCCCTGCAGTGGGCAGTGCCTCACCTCAGCTCCGTGTGCTCGGGCTGCAGCTCCAGCTTCTTGCAAACCAGGTCCAGGAGTTCCTTGTAGGAGAGGCCTGGCTTGACTGCCAGGGCAACTGTGTATTTGTAATGCACCTTGAGGATGTGGGGGGTGGAAATAGCTGGTTCAGCCTCCTGTGGGCAGTGAATGGGATATGTCACTTTGTGACTGGGATATGGAAACTGGTCACCTGAGTCAGATTGTGTCACCCAAGCTCTATGGTTAGATATTGGCTGGTTAGCAGCCCCAGGAGAGAGCTCACCAATAGATCAGGCATCAAATTGTGGCTTTAGGGTGACCAAATTCAAGATGTGTCCACCCTCCAATGCTGTCTTTTTTTTTTTTTGAGATGGGATTGTTGTGTTTTCCCATGTCTCTCCCCAGCTGACCCTGCCCAGGAACATGTGCATCGCAGCCAAACTCTCACCTATTTCTCCCTTCTCAAGTGCCACAGGTCAACTAAGATGAGAGTCATACAGGGGCTCTGCTCACAGCCCTGGATCCACTGAGGAGTGGACCTGGAGAACTCCCAAAAAGCAGCCCTAGCTGCCTGGTAAATGCAGATTTGTAGCACCAATAGGACCTCTGGGTCTGAGCTCACAAGATGTTACCTTTGCTGTGTCTCTGGGCTGCGTCGCCGTAGCAGGAACGTAGTCTGTGGAGGAGGAAAGAGGTGGCTCAGCAGGTGGGACAGGGTAAGCATTGTGCTGCTCTGTGCCTAAATACACAGTCAGATCTCCTGCAGCTCATCACTCTCTGCAGCAACACCAACCAGCCGTGGGGCCAGCAGTGGTTCCTCGAATGGATACAACATCTGCCACCATGGGCTTCATCCATAACATCTAGGTATAACCACCAAGCAGAGGTTTGGGCTCTGTGCTTTCCCTCTTGCAGGGATGGGAGTTTTAGGGGTGGGATGTCTTTGCTGTCTCTGCCTCCTGCTTTAATGTCCTCCCATCCTTGACTGCAAATGGGTCTGGGGATGAGATGGAGATGAGCCCTAGCCCTGGTCTCAGAGGGTGAGGACATGGCACAGAAGAAAAAGTCTCAAACACCTCAAACCTGCTGCTGGGGGTCTCTCCCCCATGGCCCCACATCCCCTTCTCCCTCGCTGACCTGGCGCTGGCCGCCGCGGCTTCTCGGGCACAGAGGAGGTGGGTGACTCAGGCATCTCATCTTCCAGAGGGGTTTCTTCCTGTGCCAGTGGGAAGAAGGTAGTACTGTCAATCCCAGTGTTCCTAAGGCAGCTGAGGCCTTGTGAAGCCCCCACTCCAACCTGCTTCCCAAAGTCTGTTTGGGGTCTTGAACTGGAGAGGAGTAACGTCACTCCCCCTTATCTCCCCAGCATTGCTGGCCACCAACGTGCATTTTGCAGATCTTTGAGCTCATGTTGACCATGAGCCAGAAGAACCAACCTCAGCATCGTGAGGGGGAGGCAGTCACAGACGTGAGTCCTGCTGGGAGGCAGGTGATGGGTGGATGTGTGGGGATTTGCCCTCCCCAGAGCACCATCTCCTCCTCGGCCTCCTCACCTGGAGATACAGCTTGTTCTGGAGCTCCACAGGCTCAAGGAAGTTGCAGGGGACAATCCCTTTCTGTGGGGGAAGGAGAGACAAGTGGTGACTGCTTGGCAAAGAGGCAACATGCTTAGGGAGGACACGACCAACTGTGTCCTCACCCTGCACTGCATCCAGGAGAGTCCCTGAGGGTTGAATTTTAGTTCCTGCAGGTTGGATGGTTTCACTGAACCCTGTGGCCTAGGCCAGCGTGGACATAAGGGACTTGAGTCAGGAATTTGATTGCTGACAGCAAAGCTTTGCCCTGCAAGTCCTCTGCAGAGCCTCACTGCATCTGCCCCTCCTGCCCAGCATACTCCTGGTACCTTGCCATTGAACATCACTGTAGCCCAGTTGTCTTTCTCTTTCTTCAGGACAAAGACAATGTTTCCTGGCAGGACCTGCAGCTCCTCGGGGGTCTCAGGGATGAACTCGAACATGACGCGGTGTGGCTGCCCTTTGAGGGCCCTGGGTGTGGGAGCAGTGCACAGGTCAGCAGGCTGGGCAAAGTCGTTGTTTTACATTGTTGGGGGAGCTCAGATTTCTGTCTTCCTGTTTCTATGACCCATTCTCTGTCCCCCCTGAGGTTTGGGTTCTGGCTGGACACTCGGCTGTGAGGATGCAGGATGGGGCTGTGCCTGGCTACATGGGTTAGCAGCATCATCCATCCTTCATCCAACTTACCTGAGGATTTCAGGGGTTTTGGGTCTGGGGGGAGGACCAGAGGCCTGCCAGCAGGAAGACAAAAAGGAAAATTATCAGTAATCTGGAGGATTTGGGTTGCTTTGCAGAAATGTCCTGCAGCCTTCTACCACTGCCATCACCCCAACACTGTTCCTTCCTCCCTGTGCTGGTGCCTTAAATGCCATGAGGAATATCACTGGCTTTGCTCTTTCTAAGGAGCAGTTTCCAAATTCTTTCAGCTGCAGTTGGTTTTCAGGGCCACAATCCTCTTTTCAACTATGATTTCAGTTTCAGCTCAGAGGCTTGAGATGTCAGACACCCTGCTGGCTGCACTGAGAAGGATGTAACTTGTGTAACAGTGCTGTAGGCTACAGCAGCTGTGCTTCTACATATCCCCTCAAAAAGCTCCTGTAAAATCTCTCAGACATCTTTAGAGTTGGAAAGATGCTGCTACATCATTAGGAAAATGCAAAGGGCTGTGGCAAGGGGGAGGAAGTTGGAAACCAAAAGCAAAACTGCTCCTTTCCATTGAAGCTTAGGCAGAAGAACCTAATGAATCTTTTGGGGAGGGTCAGAGACAGCTCTGTGCTGAAAACTGTCACCCTGCAGCAGTGGTGGGGGCAGAGGATGTGCCGCCAGGCCACTACTTCCCCATTCAGGGAAGCAGCTTAACCTCAGCCCCAGCTGTGTGTGGGTTTGGGCTGAGCTTCCTGATGATGGAGAGAGCAGCTGATCATGGGGCAGCATCTGCCTCCTCCCCACGGCAGTGGCACAAAGTTCACGGTGGTGACGATGCTGTTTGCTCCCCACTGCAAGCCAGAGCTCTTGGCAAGCTGCAGGGTGACATCCATCCCACATCCTCCTGGACTGTCACCAAGGATGCTGTTCACTGGGGGAGGCTTACCTGTGGTTGGAGGGGAGCAAAGCCTGAAAAATCATCCTTGTCCACCACAGATGCCACCACCTAGAGTCAAAGAGACAGGTAGTGATTTGGTGCTTATTAGACCTCTGACATCAATACTCCTCTCCTGCTGTTGGCCAAGCCAAGCTCCTTGGGAATCTTCAGGCTCAGGAGGGGCTGTGATTTTAGGCTAAGCATCTTGGACCATAGGCTGAGTGCTCCTGGCACCAAAGCTCACCTCAGCTGTGGTAAGTCCTCTGCTCTTAGCCTCACGGTTACTGTGGTTTGAGTCATTGTAACCTAAAAGTTTCCCTTTCTGTTTTAATCACAAATGTTGAAGGGAAACAAAAGGTCCACCTCTGAGCCCTTACCTCCTACAGGTGACCTCGAAAAAATTTAGGAAGTCGATGAATGGTTTTGTACAAATTTCTGGGGTTCCCCTGACACCCAAGTTGCTGCTTGGCTCTCAGCTGTCTGATTCCCCAGTGCCTGCCCAGTAGATAATTCCCTTTCCAGAGGAATGCTGCCTCCCAGGGCCTGAGCCCAAGGGTGATATCCCAGTGCTTGGGCTTTGCACACTCATGGCAGAAAAGCTTGCTTGCTTGCCTGAGCTGAAAAGCCCTTTTTAAACATTGCAGGGGGAAAACTGGAGGTTGTTTTAAGGTGTTAGATGTTAAATAGCTTCTTTCCCCACCCCTTGCAAATATCTTGGCTCAAGCTGAAGCTCCAGTGGGATCTTTCCAGCTCATTGCTGACTGTCCCTCATGTCTCACTGAGACATCAAACTGCAAACAGGCCATGCCCTGCAGGAACATGCTTTTAGCTCCTCTGGTCCCTGTTCCCTCTGAGATCCCTGTGTGCCATCCCTTCCTCCAAGCCTGGGGGGATGCCCAGGGCACAGACCAGCTCTGTATCCCTGGCTGCCCAGCAGACAGCAGCTCAGAGGGGAGGTGAGGGGGTGGAGAGCAGCTCTCCTCAGCCAACAGGCTTTGCCTGGATAAAGAATACAGTTCTTCCTTACCACTGCCTTTCCTAGGTAGTCCTTCTTCTCCAGCTGAGCCACTTGCTTTTCGTTTGGCCTGAAGAGCTTCCCTGCAGGAATGGCCACCAGGTCACAGAGCTTCTGCTTCTGTAGCACAGAGAAGTCATGGAGTCTTTGGAGGTGAGAGCAGGGACCGCTGAATGTCCCCTTCCTTCTGCCTCTGGGGTTAGGGTCTGCTCCAGAAAGTCAAACCACCACAGTGACAGCCCAACCCCAGCCCTGACGTGGTCCATTTAACCCAGTCTTCTCCTCCCTGCTCTTCCCATGACTTGTGCCCCACTACAACACCCATTCCCACTGATTTTTAATCCAGGTAAAAGATGGTTCTGCTGTCCCTGGGATTTTCCTCCCTGTGGGGCTGCTGGGAGTGACCAGCAGCAAGACCTGCTGCTCCGTACCAGGATGGCTTCCATTGCCCTGTCAATCTTATTGTGCTGGGGCTCACTCTTCATGCTCATGGCCAATGTCAGGTGCTCCTCAGCCTTCTTCCAGTTCTCCATCGTGGCATACACCAGTGCAATATTGTAGAGAATCTGTCAGAGGGATGGAGCAAGGAGATGACCTCAGAGCATCCAGACCGCAGCCAGGAGCTCAGGAAAGGAGAGGACTACAGGGTGGTGGCACTGTGCTAGTTTGCTTGCTTTTTGCAAGGCACAAAGAGAGGTTGTCTGTCTTCTCCTTGTATTTCTTGTGCTGAAGAACAGACCTTTGGATCAAAACTGCCAGCCAAGTGTGTCTCACCTCACAAGCAAAGAGCCTGTACCGCAGCCCCAGGATCTTGTAGTCGATGAGCTGGTTGCCTCGCAGCTGAGCCAGGGCCTCTTTGAAATCCTCAATGGCCTTTCCATGGCTGTGGAGCAGAGGACAAGGGCATCACCAGCTTGTGGTGCCAACCTCCCTGCCTCTAAGCCTATACCCAAACTTGTGTGAGTTCAGTTGGGTCTCCCCTCTCTCCTTATAGTGTTTCAGACACCCCAGGGGAAGAGAGAGGCTCCAAGGCTGGTGTTAATCCCAGGACTGCACTGCTGAAGAAAGGAGCCTGTTTGAGCCTTCCACTTTGGGCCGTGGGTTACCAACCAGCCTGGGACCATCCTTAGCTGAAGGTTGACATCTCTGCAAGCAGCAACTAAACTTTAAACCCTTCCACTCACTTCTGCCTCCGGTAAAACACTGTCCCTCGCTGGAAATAAGCCACTGCCAGGTGCTTGTCGCAGCCGATGCTCCGGGTGAATGCCTGCACAGAGGTAGGAGTGGGGTGAAAAGGGCAGATGGTTAAGAGACTGAGGGTGTAGAGCAGTTCATAGTATTGTAGTATGTTAAGGGGTTGGAATGGAGCTTAGAGATGATCCAGCCCCAACCCCTGCCCTGGGCAGGGACACCTCCCAGCAGAGCAGGTTGCTCAAGGCTCATCCAACCTGGCTGTGAACACTGCCAGGGTTGGGGCAGCCACAGCCTCCCTGGGCAACCTGGGACAGTGTTGTAGCTGTACCTGTCCTGTTTTAGCTGCGTGGCCTGAGCTGGGCTCTGTGGGCTGTGCCTCCCTGCAGAGCTGGGCACTGGGTGGAGAAACCTGTGCCAGGCTCCTGTGTTTTCTGAGCTGGAGCCATCGGTCACCTCTCAGAGAGAAGGAGGGTGAGCAGTAGAGCCATGCACTGCTGCTGCCTTACCTCTGTTCACT